CCAGCAAATGAATAGCCATGCCTGAGCAAAGCAAAAGCAAACAGGAACGCACTGCCTGATTAATGTTTGACTTCATTAACTGCAGTGCTCGTGCTGTTGACATTGCCCTGTAGTCCTGGTTGCTGCTGGCTTCCTCCTAACTAGGTGTTCCCAATTGAATAAGCCATTGGGGTCCATATGAGCTTGATCCACCACTTGCTGGGACTTTGGTGTGGTGTTTTTGGGCATGCTCTGCAGGAAGAGGTGGCAGATTTGTTCCTCTCTTGGCGCTGTTTTTGAGCATGCTTTTGCTGTCTTCTATGTTCTAACCTGTGTTTTGCTCTGAGGCCCTGGCTGAAGCTGGACACAGAGTAGTTTTGCTTCTATAACTCTTTGCAGTCAGGTTAGCATGGATAACTCTTTTAGTGAAACGCTGCTGCTGACCTTGCAGTGTCCCTGCTGCAGAAGGTGGCTATTGCAGGGGACCTGGTGATTTGGATATGTCTGCAACCTTGGATGTCAGGAGGGCTGTGTGTGTGTGAGAACCAAATGGGGAGATGCTGTTGTCTTCTATCTTCACTCTCTCAGGAACAGCAATTGCAATGGGATGGATTTGTGCTGGTCTCCAGTTAAAAGAAGTTAGAAATGCTTCTTCCCATTGGGCTTTTTTCTTGTCTAAGGCCCATAGAGCTGCATGTTGTAGAATCTTGGGATCACTGGATCATGTACGCATCACACATCCATGGGGCTGTAGAAACTGTGTGACCTTTCCAGGGATCCTGAATATGTTGGCAAAGAGGAAGATGTGGCAGGAGCCACGTAGATCTGCTCTCACAGGAGCTCTGCGCACTGGGTCATGGAACTGCTGGCCATGTCACTAGGGGGAAAAGCAAGAGAACATGGTTATTTTGGGAGGTGGTTTGGGTTTCTTTTGGAAATACCCAGACCAGAGCCTAAGCCCAGACCTCACTGCCTGGTCAGTTTGGTCTTTTGTTTATTTTTCTTGTAATGTAATTAGAATCTTGCAGCTTAAAAGACTGCATATGTCTATGGCACTGCAGTATTTGTCTTCCCAACATCTCTGATCTCCTGCTGTCCAGACGTGGATAATAAAAAGACATGCATAAAACCCCTTTTCCTTGGTGTATTCTCTGAGGGGTTATGCAAACCCTGCTCTATTCTGCAAGCTAAACATCCAATCCTCCTTGCCTCTGCCCTCTGCTGCTATTTAATAATTAAGCCAAATTAGAAATTTTAACCCTGAGAGGCTCAAGCACTGCTTGGGACTCTGGGATGAAGGGTACAGGACAATGTGAGCAGATGAGTGAACAGGGAGAGCCAGCAGAGAGAAACCTAGACATCCTAGGGTCACTCAGGCTGCAGAATGAAGATGGTAGGTGCTCTGCTTTCTTCCAAAATCTGCATTTGTGCTTGCTTGGTGGCTCTTCCTACTGCAGGTGGACATCTTATCCCATGAAGTTCTCTGTTTTTTAAGTGCCCTTGGCTGCTGCAAAGGGTGCTTCTCATCCGCCCTTCTTGGAGTTTTTCACTGGAGCCCCTCTAGTTTCCAAACCAAGTTTTCTGTCATTCTCTGCAGGAATGTTTTCCTGCTTCCTCTGTAAATCACAGACACTTCTCAAACTCAATCACAATTCCCATTTGCTTGGACCTTGAAGATTTCACATCTGGAGTGCATCTCCTCTTACGTTGAGTTGACTACTTATTTTAAAGGGACACTTCCTGCTGTTGTTACAACTTAGGTCTAGGGTACTGTAATATTCCTTGGGCAGACAGCTCATGTTGAGGGGCTTTTATATGCATCTTCAGTCTTGGGGTCATAGAAACATAGAATTATTAAGGTTGGCAAAGATCATCCAGTCCAACTGTCAACTCATCCCACCACGCCCAGTAAACCATATCCCTCAGTACCACATCTGCCCTTTTCTTGAACACCTCCAGGGATGGTGACTCTACCACTTCCCTGGGCAGCCTGTGCCAATGCCTCACCACTCCTGAGAAGAAATGTTTCCTAATACCCAGCATAGATAATAGCAGTTCCCATTTCCCTGTCCTGCAGCTTTGCTAACTCAGTTGGTCTAAGAGGAGTAAAATATAGTAAAATACAGGAGTAAAATAGACATCTTTTTTGTACTTCAAAAGAATAATTTCTTCCTACATCTGTCTAGTGCCCGATCAAAGCAGTATCTGTTAGAAATATGGATCATAACTCAGAAGTGACGGACGCCAGTGTTCAGGGTCACCACGTAATGATTCTGAACACAGGACTCAAACAGGGACAGCTTCTCTCTTCTGCTGCTCTCTCAAGGATGGCCTCTTTTGAAAGGGGAATGCCTGTGCAGGGAGTGCTCATCCCATCGCCTCTCTGTCTGTCATAATAAAGGTTATTAAAAGCCGACATGACCATCCTGTGCATCCCTGCAGAGTGAATCCTCACTAACTCACAGGACAGTCTTGCCAACTCTGCAGTATGATCTTGATTTTATTAAATATTTGCTTGACCAGAAAGGCAAAGCAGAACAGGGTAAACATGCCTAAAGTAAATGTGAAATGACCTTTGTCTGTCCTTCAACCAGCACCTGTGGCTGATGTGGTAGGGAGGGCAGAGGGAGGTGGAGGGGATCACGCAGCTGCTTTGAAATTCTGGCTGCTGTGAGAAGTCTGAAATATTTGGGGTGGCATAAAAGTGGTGGATGCTCTAGAAGCCCAGACGTACCCTTTCCACTATCAGATCTAATCAGTTTACAGGTCAAAAGAAGACAGATTTTTTTTCTTTTTGTTATTCCTTGAAGTAAATTCTTCCATTCCTCTGGCACACATTTGAAAAAGCTGTGAATCCCAGCCCTGTGTCACTGCTACATCTTCCTCCCTGCTGGGATTTGCAAACAGCAGTCTTTCTCTTGCCTTGCCTCCTCCTTGCTGGCTGTTGTCACCTTTACTCAGCAAATTACACCCCTCACTCCAGCAAAGGCACTCTGTGAGAAGTGATGGGACAGTGGTCTGCAGAAGTGCATTCAAATCACAAGGGTATTTGAAGCTGGGATTTGATTTGTTTCACTTTTAATAAGCAACAAGAATTTTGTGGAATTCTGATCTGGATGTTAAAGAAGGAGAGGGGTAATAGCAGCTTGCCTTGGCCTGGCCACCTGTAACAAGGGTTGTGTAATCAGCAATCAGCAAAAAGCTTGGCTGGCAAAACTCAAGGCATTGAGAATCCACCTTCCATGTGCCTCAGGTTGTGCCAGGGGAGGTTCAAGTTGGATATTAGGAAAAATCTATTCTCAGAAAGAGTGGTGAGGTATTGGCACAGTCTGCCCAGGGAACTGATGGAGTCATCATCCCTGGAGATGTTCAAAGAAAGGGCAGATTTGGCACTGAGGGACGTGGTTAGTGGCCATGGTGGGTATCGGTTGGTAGTTGAATTTAGAGATCTTAGAGGTCTTTTCCAACCCTAGTGATTCTGTGATTCTCTGAAAGCTTCTCTTGGTATATAATCAACCTTGAAAAGGAAGAGGAGCAGGGAGCAGGTGAATGTTTTGAATGGGAGGATGTATTCCCACAGCTCAAGGTCAGGATGTGGTGAAATCCCCTATGGCTCACATCAACTCTGGTTAAAAGCTAGGAGACTTAAAGTGACTGACTAGTGCAAGAAAGCCCCTTGTTTTTTGGGGGGGGAATCACCAGGCCAGTCTCTGGGTTGTCAGCTTTTGTACATCATGGACCTTGAGACTTTATCACTGCTAATAACTGGGCAGGTCCTTTCTTTTCAGCCTTCTGAAATGCCCCACAGAACTGTATCTTTTATTTAGACAAGGTTGTCTCGGCTTTGCAGGGGGTGAAGAGCAGCGCTGTGGTAAGGACCAGGGGAGGGCTGAGGGAGCTGGGGTTGTTCAGCCTGGAAAAGAAAAGGCTGTGGGTTGACCTCATTGCAGTTTCTCAGTACCTAAAGGGAGCCTATAAACAGGAGGGGAGCCAATTCTTGGAAAGGGTAGACAATGGCAGGATGAGAAGAAATGGTTTTAAGTTGAAGGAGTGAAGGAAGATTTAGATTGGATGTCAGGGGGAAGTTCTTTACCACGAGAGTGGTGAGGTGCTGGAACAGCTGCCCGGAGAGGTTGTGGATGCCCTGTCCATCCCTGGAGGTATTTAAGGCCAGATTGGATGGGGCCCTGGGCAGCCTGGTCTGGTATTAAATGTGGAGGTTGGTGGCCCTGCATGTGGCAGGGGGGTTGGAGCTTGATGATCCTTGAGGTTCCTTCCAACCCTGGCCATTCTATGATTGTATGATTTTATGAGGAAGAAGACATGGTGCCCAGTTTGCTTTATGCTTGGCAGCGTGCCCCTTGTAGATGTTGCTCTGAAGTTTGGCACACCACAACTCCAACATCTGTACCCCAAGCTGGACTGGCATGAGGCAGCTTTGATCTGGAAGCCACAGAGAGCTTGGTCAAACAGTCCTGCTCAGGACCAGCGTCTCCCTGAAAGGATGTTAATGTCAGACCAGAGTTGGCTTCTTCCTGGCAAACTTGAAGAGTCACAGGAAAGCTTACCAGCCATCTGGGCTTATCCCTGCAGACAGGTCCCTGACCTTCTCTAGGCTTCATTTCCTCATCTGGAAGAGCAGAATAATAATCCTTCTCCTGTCCTGTCTTAACAAATACACAGTTGGGTCAAAACTGGCAGTGCAAACAGTAATATTGCTTGATGCTTCTGCACTATTCTGGCTTCCAGTGAGTTTTTGTGCTGTACCATGGGGCACATGTGCGTGTAGTAGAGGTTAAAAGGGCACTGATTTATTATTTTGCTATGTAATTTCTGCTCTTTCTACTAGCATCTGCTCTTTCAGGAGGACTCCCTTTGTGCTGGTTTTAAGTAGAGAGCTCTGAGGCGAGAAAAGGAGGATTAGCAATTAAATATGCTCTGATGATGGCATGGTTGTGAAGGAGGGAGGAAGAAATACTCCATAGTAACATACTTTTGTTTTCTCTTGTCTTTGCTTTTAGGACAAAATCTGCCAGGGAATTGGTGTTTTGAAGACACTTACAGCTTCCAATCCTCATTCCCTTGGGAATACAAACATTTCTAAATATGTCACCAGCCATGTGGAAGTGGACTTGCCTGGTTTCTCACCTCCTGTTATCTGCCACAGTGTCACCTCTTGGGAGACAGCAGCCTCCCCACCCAAAAAGGCCCTTCATCACCTTCACTGGAGAACAAACGGAGGGGAACTTCAACCATTTAGTGGTTGATGAAAGGACTGGGCACATTTACCTGGGAGCTGTCAACAGGATCTATAAACTTTCCAGTGACCTGAAGGTCCTGGTGACCCACCAGACTGGTCCTGATGATGATAATCCCAAATGCTATCCTCCCAGGATAGTCCAAACCTGCAACGAACCCTTGACACCCACTAACAACATCAACAAAATGCTCCTCATAGACTACAAGGAGAATCGATTGATAGCCTGTGGGAGTCTTTACCAGGGCATCTGTAAGCTTTTGAGGCTGGATGACCTCTTCAAGCTGGGAGAACCCTTCCACAAGAAGGAGCATTACCTCTCCGGCGTGAATGAGAGTGGCTCTGTTTTTGGAGTCATTGTTTCTTACAGCAACATGGATGACAAGTTGTTCATTGCCACTGCTGTGGATGGCAAACCTGAGTATTTCCCCACTATCTCTAGCAGAAAGCTTACTAAGAACTCTGAGGCAGATGGGATGTTTGCATACGTTTTCCATGATGAGTTTGTGGCATCTATGATCAAAATCCCCTCAGACACCTTCACCATCATCCCTGATTTTGATATCTACTACATCTATGGCTTCAGCAGCGGTAACTTTGTTTATTTCCTAACTTTGCAGCCTGAGATGATCTCACCACCTGGTTCCACCACAAAAGAACAAGTTTATACCTCTAAGTTGGTCCGGTTGTGCAAAGAGGACACAGCTTTCAACTCCTATGTTGAGGTGCCCATTGGCTGTGAGAAGAACGGGGTGGAATATCGGTTGCTCCAGGCAGCCTATTTGTCCAAGGCTGGAGCCATTTTAGCAAGGTCTTTGGGTGTTGGCCCTGAGGATGATATCCTCTTCACAGTCTTCTCTAAGGGGCAGAAAAGGAAGATGAAGTCCTTGGATGAATCTGCTCTTTGCATCTTTGTCCTGAAAGAAATCAACGATCGCATCAAAGACAGGCTGCAGTCCTGCTACAGGGGAGAGGGGACATTAGATCTGGCCTGGCTCAAAGTCAAGGACATTCCCTGTAGCAGTGCGGTAAGTCTAGCCTTTAAACACCCACATTTGACCTCCTCACGTTCTTGCAGAGTTTAAAGTGTGCCTCAATGGTTGCAGTAGGGAGTGAAGAACTGAGCCTGCCTCATCCCAGTCTTGGTTTTACCTCTGGCTCATGACACCATCTAATCTAACCGGCCCATGCCCCAGTTTACTCGTGGTCAAGTTGAGGAAGGCATCACTTTCTGACCTTCCCAGGAATTTTATGTTTGTTGATGGAATAAGCCAAGAGGCCTTGAAATCTTTGGGAAGGATTGTCCTGCTCTTGTTATTTCACAGTGAAATTCATTAGGGGTGAAATCACGCTCCCTTCTGCAGTATTGGCACAAGCATAAACCAAAATAAGACTTAGATAACCTTAACTGCTTGTGCTTATTTTTGTGTCTGATGGTGGAATTTTATCTCCCTAGGCTGGAGTTGAGGCAGGATTTTTTCCGGGAGCTTTGTGAAAGCAGTACTTCATTTATTCTGGGGCTGAGTAGCGCTGATCATTAACCATCAAAGTCCCTTGTCTTCCTCCTTCAAACCAGCTCTACACTGTCTGCGCACTGGAAAAAAATTAAGGCCTGGCTACAGATCAAGGATTAAATGCTACAACATATAAGGGCAGGACAGAGGAAGAGGTTGGTCTACCTGACCTACAAATGGTCTTAAGAAATTCTCTTAGTTTATTCCACCAGTTCACTAAAGTGTCATCGTGGAAATCTGCCTCAGCCCCACCAATACGTGGCTGGCTTTGATACCATGCACAGAAATCAGCATTACAGTCGGCACTGCACCCTGGCTGCTGTAATAGCTGCCTCTCTGGGCTTTGATTTCCATCCTTAATTAATTCTTTCAAGTAAGAGGCAAGTTCAAGTCTGAGCAAAGGGAATATGGAGAAACACCAGAGCACCTTCCTGCCGCATAATCTCATAGCAGAGTCAGGGCTCAGTATATGGGATTGCTCATGCTTTCCTTTGTACTCAAGCATCCTTTGCTGGGGAATCCCTGCTGTTGTTCCTTTGCAGGACAAGGGCACACTAAGAGGAATGCAGATGGAAATATCATTGCAGGGAGACCGATCCTGCCTTACCCTGTCCTAATTTTCCTTTGCACAAGCACAGCATTGTGTGACCTTGCACTGCTCTCACAGTCCTACACTGAAGTTGAGGAGGGACAAGCCCTTTGGTTTGGTGGGATCCCTTCTGTCTAGACCTCTGCCAGCAGCAAACCCCCTATGGGTTCACAGAGAGAAAGACTGTGCCTGAATCTGGCTTTGATTTTTTTTTTCTTTTGTTTGTTTGTTTGTTTGTTTGTTTAGCCTCAAGGCCTCCACACATTCAAAAAGCTGCCTTTAGATTTAAGCTGGAGTTTCCCACTGGAGTTACTTTCCCAGGCTGTTAAGCCTTTCCATATATTTGCAAATCTGCTCCACTTGTGCTCCATACTAATGCTTGCAGCACAGGACCTCTCAAACCAACAGTTTTGAAATCCCTCAATCACCTGTCTTCGTGGCTTTAGAAAGGGGAAAAAAGGCCAACATTGTCCCTTGGGATGAATCTGGGATATATTAGAGCAAATTTGGAGGGACAGGACTGCAGTGACTGGGGAGAGGACAACAAATTGGGGTCTGTGTGGCACAGCAGGGAAAACTGTAAGAGCATCTTTGTGACTGTGAATCAGAGATGCTAATGCATCCCATCTGGAAAAAGAGCCCGGAGATCCTTGAAGAGAAAATAAGAGTCTGAAAAGTGTAACTAAGTGGGCTGTGCTCTCCTTTAATGAGTCTACTTAGAGCTGCTGGCAAGCCCTGCCTGAGATCAGCTGTGTTGCCCGAGGGAAGAGGTATTAGTGACTTGGCTGCTGTACGGGCTGCAGAGTCCAGCTGCTAAGCTTGGAAAATATTTGATGGTCGGTGAAGTATTTTGGAGCCTGGACATATGTCCGTGAGGGCCTCATCTCTGTTGCTGATGGATGTCCTGCTTGCCAGCAGTCCACCAGCACTGCTGCTCTGCCTTTTTGCAAGTGGATTGGAACAGCTATAAAACCAATTATAAAGCTACCAGCGTGACTTTTCATATGTTTTTATTATCATTATTATTATTAAATTTGAATGTCAAATGTGTCTCTGCTAGTGCAGGATAAAAGCCTAACCTGCCCATGATAAAGGGTGGACTTGAAGTTCAGCTCTGCTGCCGTGTATCCAGCAGCCAAAATCCCACAGATACAGCTGATATGCTACTCAGTGAGCAGATGGGTAAAGAGAAGCTGTGGGAAACCCCCACTGAACATCGCAGAGAAACACTGTAAGAAGACATATGTCAGTCCTTCCTTGAGATACTTACTCTTGGACCCTGGAGTTGGGCTCATCACACTGTCCTTGCACCTTGGTCAAATCTGGCCTGGGAAAGACCAGAGATGAATGGACAATCCTTGATGTACATTCCTCTCCTGTGCTATAGCTATCCTCCTCTTAAACTTCAGCATAAAAAAAAGATTGATTTTTATGTCTGGGCAGTTGATTTGCAAATTCACCCTCGTGATGAATAGTTGCAGGTAATATCTCTGGTTCTCCTCTCTGTACCTTCCAAATGCGGAATAATAACTTATATTTAAATAGTACTCTTGACCCCAAATGCTTAGAAATTCATATAATCAGAGAAAAATGAGACTGTGAAAAAAAAAGAATCTTATGAGGTCATCTGATTTGCCCTCCTGCCTTACTTATAACATTTCTGACAGATGTTTGTCTCACCTGTTCTTAACCTCCAGTGAGGCAGGCTCCCCTCTCTCCCTACATGATCTATCTCTGCTGCTAGGAAGCTTTCCCTCACTTTTAATCTCATTTCCTGATACTGGAGCCATTACGACGTACACAGCCTTAGAGAGCACCTTTGTTTCCTTTGAGTATCTACAAGGAATGATGTGTGCCACCAAAATGCCACCTCTTTTGTGGTTCATCTGTCTAAATTCAGAAAGTTTCTGAAGAAAGAGTGGTGGGGTATTGGAACAGGCTGCCCAGGGAGGTGATGGAGTCACAAACTCTGGAGGTGTTCAAGAAGAGGATAGATGTGGCACTGAGTTTAGAGTGATCATAGACATCTGTTGATGGATTGATCAGTGGTCTTTCCAGTCTTAATGATTCAATGATTCTGTGGAGCAGAGAGCGATAGGCTGTATAGATATGCAGAGTATTGGCAGATGGAAAGGCTGCTCTAGAGTGAAAAGGATGTTTGTTTTTTTAAGCAGAAAATGATCTTCATGTTGGATAAAAAAGACAGTGATTTAAATACACATCAAGCTGTATCAACATGCTGAATTTTTTTTTTTAAAAAGAGGCGGCTCGAGAGGAGGATAGAGTTGGGAATGGGTCATTTTGGTACTGGTTTTGATCATTGGTAGATTTGTTGGCTTTTTGTATGATGAAATAAGATTACAAGTGGGCACATTTTGAAGCCCAGTGGAAATTACATTACTGGGATGCGCAGAAGTTGAACCTTAGGGAACAAGCAGATGAACTGCTATGTGGGACATGTAAGGATGAATGAAGAAGAGGAAGATACTGGAGACTGCCTCTAGGGAACTGTGAATGTGCCAGGGCCTGCTGGGGAGATGTGAGAGGACCGGGGATCCTTGGTGGACATTGGCTTGCAATAAATTCTCATAGAGTCATACAATGGCTTAGGTTGGAGTGGACCTTGAAAACTATCTTGTTCCAACCCCCCTGGCAGCAACACACTCACACAGACTGCACTGTTAGTGTGCAATCCTAAGTGTTAGCTTAGGAGCTGGTTGCAACCCTGATCCCAGCCTGATCTGTCTCACAGCATCACCTGCTGCTCTGCAGCCTAACAATCTGCATTCCCTGAAATGAAAAGGTGTCACTTCCACCACTGCAGCTTTTACCAGATACACAGTGTGAATATCTGTCTGAGATAATCAGAATGTCTGTCCCCAACTATCGCCTGGCTTCTGCCTTTTGCCGGTATTTTCTTTTCCTTTTGGCAGGAAATGGAGTTTGACTGTTTAAAGTACTGCATTCAATCTCTTCCTGTTTTTCATGGCAATGTTGTCAGATGGAGGAGAAAAGAAATGTTTTTTGAAGTTGGCCAGCCAACAAAAGGCTTTGTGTAAAGACTTGGACAATATTTTTCCAATGCTTTGTTAATAGAAGGCAGGCAAGGTGGGGCATTTGGAACTGCCTGACAAGTAACTCAGCTACAAAAGCTTCTGCTTCTGATAATCCAAGCCACATCTAAGTCAGTAATTCACCCAGACAGTGGTAACGGTTGCCTTGTTCCCTATTTGTTCTCTGTCTCCTCCATCCATATATACTCCTCGTGTTGACTTTGTTCTCCTACTCCCTCCTGATTTACCTATTTACCCTTGCCCATCCCAGGTGCTTCATGCCCACCAAGCTTTACCCATGAGGTTCAGACAGATACGGAAAGAGGTTGTAGAGTGCACATTGCTGATTAATCTCAACACTGTTCTCCATGTATGGCTGTCAGATGTGTCTGCACTGGTTTTTGTGTGCCCAGGAGATTTGTGTTATCAGAATGAGCACCTCACCTCAGGATGAATGCCCTTGAGACTGATTCATACATCTAGGCTCTCTACTGCTCCATACCATCAGATTAGAAAAGGCCTTTTCTAGCTTGGTGTAAAACAAAGACAGTTTGACTCCTGGTGAGACAACCATTGATGATGAGGCCATAATTTTCCTATCAAAAAACTTCCAATATTTTTGTCCAAACAAACAGTTTCATTGTTTTCCTCTTCAACAACACTAAGATGGCGAGAAGCTTTACTTCTCTTTTACAGGAGTTAAGGCACAGTAAAACATGACCTGCTGCTTGGTTGCAGCTCAGGAACTCCTGAATCCTTGTGTTGCACCCAATATTCTCAACTGTTGCAAGAAGACGGAATAAATCTTTACTACAATCATTTAAAAATGACTCGCTGAAAAGAAAAAGAAAAGTCTGTTTCAAAGAAAAATA